TCAGGACAGCCCTTGAAGATGTGGCGTCAGTTCTTGAGCAACTCGGGGTAGTAACGGCCATGCTACGCACTGCAGTCACAGGTAAACCCACTTAAACCCTATTTGAACCTTCGAATTATGTTTGCTCATCGATTGTTTTTAACATCTGTGCTCACAAGCAGGGGGAGAAGATTGAAATCGGTGGATGCATGAACTATGGGGGAGTTTTTGGGGGTTTTAGAATTCTGGGGGAGTAAAGAGAGTTTTATATAAGACATTGTGTTTTATTTCTTAACTCCTTGAACTCGTTTATGTTAAGACTTACACTCCATTGGTTTCCTGGAGTTTCTTGTGGTTAATCGGAATCTTTTGGAATCATTCCCAGAATTGTGTGTGGCTTGTAGTGTGCTTGTTGTTGCTTGTTTGGTCTCAATTTCCCTAACAGGTACTTGTGGAGCACATATGCTAAAAAGGGGGAGATTGAAGATGCAAACAAGGCTGGAGCAGCACATGTAGCAGTCCGACTAGCTCTGGAGCTGACACAGGAAGACTTGCGAAGCAATCTACACACGTGGAGGTGAGCTGGAAGCTGAGCTGGAGCTGCAGGACGTGCTGGACACTTCAAGAGACGAGAAGCTGACGTGGATAGGAAGCTTGGAGTATCTTGGAGGATCTTTGAAGAAAATATCAAGTTTCCTCTATCTTAGGAGAAGATAAGGAAGGTGAAGATTCTCATGAAGATTTGGAGAAATCAGGAGGATCTAGACGAGGAGTAGCCGCAAGTCCTGTTATGTATAAATAGGCGTGTAAAAACCGTGTAGGGTTTTTAACACAACTGAAAGAATACTTAGCAAAGGGTGAGCGAAAATCTGTGAGAGTTTTTGTGAGCTAGTGTGCTAAGGGATTTGGGTGAGAGGTTCTTGAATCACGTATCGATTCAAGAACAAGTGAGACTAGTGTATCAAATCAAGGTGTGTCTTGAGGTTGCTCTAAATCGTGTTCTGTATACTTGTAAGTTACAAACAGATTTACTAGTGAAATATCTTTGAAGAGAAAATTTTTGTGTTCTGTTCTGTGTTAGTTCCCGTATTACTATTCTTACATTTTCAATTATGAATTTTTAATTATTTCAAAATTATTTAGTAATAAATAAATAGGTTCATGTTTTTTCATGTTCATGCATGAATATATAAAGTGTGGATTTTTGTTGGAACAATATTTACTGGATGGATTAACAATCAAGTGATTCTCAAATATGAGAACTTTCCACTCAAACCTAATTAAAAGTGAATGAATTGATTCATGTGCTACTATTTGAAAAAATTTCAAACTTTGGATATGAGTTTTTCACAAACATAAATTTAATTTGTTAATATGGTTAACGTCTTCTAATTTATATCTCCGTGATATCAAAAAAAAAAAATCGAACTAAAAATCTAAACCAACCCTGAATTAAATTCACCCTCCTAGACTACACTTATAAAATACTCACTTACATGATTGACCAAAGATGTATACTGGTTTATTTTAATCTCTGAAAATATTATAAGAAATGAATGGTATACGAAACATCTTATAAAATACTCACAACTTCGCTTACAGTTGTTGCATTCAATTTTTAAAAAAAAAAATATTCAAAATTGACAAACAAAAAATTTTCAAATTATGGAAGATGAATATAGCAAAATCTGAAACAAGGAAGAATGGAGAAAATGAGAAAGTGAAAGGTAAAGAAGGGTAATGAGAATGCGAAGCATAATGCTTGTCCGAGGAATCATACATCGTCTCTCAATGTCTCTCGCTTTCTCTTGTTTTCTTTTCTATCTTTTTTTGTGTGTGTGTGCCTTCAATCAAATTTGAATATATGAAAAGCTCGTGACTTCTTAAATAAACATGAAGAAATTACACAAGTTTTTCCATGATTAAACAGTTCAAAATACAATGATATTATTGGATGAAGAATATTGATCCTGAGGAACTCTATATCAAATTATTGTCAGTTTTCACATAACTTTTTCTTCATACATAGGTAACACTTATATTCATCTAAAAATTGATAAATACTTTTGAAAGTTGTGGTCACTAGCTAGTTCTTTTCTTGGTTGAGTTTCACGTAAGCATACAAAAATATTACTACCACCAGAAACTCTATAAATTTATATTCGATAAATTAATAAACTCAATTAATTCATAAATTTTGTTAATCCTAAATTTATGTTTTGAACCATATAATTTATTTATAAATTAATAACTCTCTAAATTATTTTTACTGTAATTTGCACACAAAAATGAAGTTGCAAGAAAAAACAAAAAACTAAACCACCATAGATTCATATACACCGTGTCTAAATTGTTTTGTTAAATGTAAATGTATTAAATTCAATAATAATGATATTGTAAAAAAAAACTATTGCCTTTAAATGGAAATTAGGGAACAACTTGGTTTTTTTCCTATTGTTTTTATGACAGTCGCAATTCAACCAAAATGCAGTACTAAAGACAGTTGTTAAAGTAAATATGCTGATGCAGTACTGCATGCTGCACTACGCCACGAACAAAAATGATAAACTGCACATGATTGATCAAACACAGTAAATAGAAAAGGTATTTATTTAGATACGTTTGTTTGTCATTATTTTTTTTTTATAAATATTATATGAAGTTTTATCAACCATTCTGTTAGGACCACATTATTGCGGTCATAAGAAATGTTAGAATCAAATAGTTAAAATTTGATAGTTATTTTATTTGCATCGTATTTAATATGGTTACCAACTTACCGTTCCATTTCTTTGTTTGTTCCGTCCTGTTTGTTTTAATTGTTCCGTTCGTTATGCACTGATCACACATGTTCATTACTAGATCTGCTTGTTCTGCACTGCTAGTTCAGTGTGTTGTGATTTTAGTCACCATTCATATCATAAATTTGATTATTTGTTTATGGTAATATATGCGAGTAAATCTGATTAAATTCCATATAAAATCATCAACTTAATTTCAATAAGCATTTTAAATCATCAACTTTTCGTGTGTCCAAAAAAAACTTTAAGTGTTTTTTCTACTTATTTTAAATCTTTAATTATTATCCGTGTGATCATTTTACTTCAATTTGATTTGGGGATTTCGCTTCAATTTTGTCGAGATTTAGTTTATATCGAGTTTTATGTTAACCATTGTTTAACCACGACGAGTACTGTAGCTAGTTTGTTAACGAGATTCGAATAATGTTTCCATTTTCGTTTAGTATCGTTTCGTATATGCTATAAATTAATTATACGAATAACAATTGAAGATTTAAAATGAGTAGAAAAAATACTTGAAAATTTTTTCTGGGCACACGAAAAGTTAAAGATTTCAAAAGCTCATTAATTAAAATTAAGTTAAGGATTTTATATGGAATTTTCCCCTTAGTTAATGGGTAAGTGATACTACAAACAAAGGGACTTCTGGGTAAGTGATACTACAAACAAAGGGACTTCTGAACATGGAGGCGATGGTCCCTTCTTATTCTACTTTTTGTCCATTTGGTGTCAATCCAATGGTTCCTTTCTTCTTTATTTATTTATTTTTTATCTCCTCTTTTTAGCTCTTTGATATACACATTTAAAAAAAAAAAAAATAATTCATTTCTAGCTTGTTCTTTTTGCTTGATTATTTTTTTTTTTAATTGGTGTAGATGATTTGTTTTCTTAAATATCGATATACACTATCTTTTTGGTTTTAAAATTTTCTAGCTTTGGTGTTAGATGCTTTTGTTTGTTTTATTCCCGCCTTTTAAGCACACTCATTTTTGCAACTTAAGAGTGCTTTGTATAGTGGTGTGACCACAAGCTCACTATATGTCTTCGATTTCCCCATATATTTGTGCATCAATATGAATATTTTAGTACTTAATTATATACATGCCATTGTGCATGGAAACTTTCAAAATCTTTTATCGGAAAAAAGAACTTTCAAAATCTAGGCATGACATACTTTTGAATTTTGTTTACTAATATCTTCTTGTATTTGTCCTTTCGAGATTTTGAATAGCTTTACTTTTATTAGACCATTCTAGGTTAAAGTTTGCATATTTTGTTCTTAAATCTTAATTAAAAATCATATATATCTTATGTGAATAACACCACTTCGACATCTATATAACTAATCATTGTACGTTTCTTACACGATACTATGGTTCAAGTTGACAATATTATTTATTTATTGTGTTATAATTGTCTCTGTCAATCTCTAAAATAGATTGTTTAAAGGTAGTTAATAAAAAAAGGGTCCATCTATATAAAGAAATGCAAACTTTGACTTTGAATATATCAGATCCAAATTGGTTAAATTCAGGCCTTCACACATCAGTAGGAGTTAGGACCATGCATGAGATAGAAAAACATTTGCAATGAGTGAAAATAAAAACCTTAAATTGAACTGTCACATGATCAACTATTACATTATTATAAGGAAGAGTTTATACTCATATTAATATTTTGAATAAATAATAGGGATATTATGGGAGACCAAAACATGGTTTGAATAAGTCTTACAAAAATATATTTAATTTGGTAAAAATACTATTTTGTTAAATATTATCTTTTAGTTTATGCAACTTTTTGGCATCATATAGAATTGAACTACGTAAATTTCTTAACATCAGCTGCTTGCTATGTTTTTTTATCGATCCTATAGGTATTTGAACCCATACTGTAATGGCCCAAATACTTTGATCGGCAACTTTGTCAAGTCGGGGGTATTGAGACCTTAATCTCTCTTTACTTGCTAGTGATGTGTTGCGTTTCTATCGGGTTTTATTGCATTTTCACTATGGTTTTTCTGTGTTTTATAAAATCTTTAAAGTTTTGTTATCTTGAGTCATTTCATATAAAAAAAGAACGTTAAAAAAAAGTTGGAGTCAGATTAGTTTTAAGTATTCAAGTCTTTACAGTTAAAAATCAAATATTTATACAAGAATCAACATTTTTTTGTAACTAAATCCATCACAACAACATAAGCTTGTAAGTTCTACCATCCTGCATCCATAATCCTTTTGAGTTGTTGTATTCAACACCGGCAACAAAAACAAAAAAAATATATTCTATTGGGTCAATAAGCGCAAAACATATTGGGCCTTAAATTTAATACGATGATTCCCAGCTTTTCGAAGCCGTCAAGATCTTGGACAGAGACAAAACAATTTCATCCATTGATGGACGATTCAAATGATCTTTTTTCAAACAATCAATCACCAATTTAACCACAAAACTCACTAATCCTTCAGGTAAGAAGCTTCCACGAATCAAGATCTCCTCCATTGCAACGCCTTCGTCGATCTCCTTCTTCAATTCAGAAGCTTCTTTACCAGTAACAATCTCCAAGAACACAACACCAAAAGCATAAACATCAAGCTTAGTCGAAACCAACCCATGTTCTAAATACTCAGGAGCTAAATACCCTCTTGTTCCTTGCACGTGTTTCGTCAAAACGTAATCTCCACCTTTTTCAGTCGATCTTGCTAAACCTAAATTACCAATCTTTGCTCGAAATTCAGAGTCGAGGAAGATATTTCCGCTGGTTAAATCCCTATGAACGTAAGGAGGATCTGCGAAATCATGTAGATAGTTAAGCCCCGTTGCTACGTCTAAAGCCACTTGCAATCTTTGAGCCAAGCTCAAGAACGATTTCGCGTGAATCCAATCGCTTAAGCTCCCATTAGAAGCGTGTTCGTAGACTAAGTACCAGTCTCCTTCATGGAAACAGAATCCAGAGAGACGGATGATGTTGAAATGGTTAAGTTTCGACAATAAGTTTATCTCCTCGGATGCGTTCCCTTCGATTTTCTTGATCATTGCACCATCGCCGTTGATTTTTCCGATGTACCCTGACCCTCCGATCGAGCTAGAGGAAGTGAAATCGCTCGTCGCAGATTGCAGCTCGTGAAATTTGTAAACTTTTAAGGTATCAACCACCATACCTGATAAACCATCCAACGGGTCGAACTCTGATTCTTGATCGGAGATCGGTGGTTTCTTGGCCGTGAAGCTATCGAGATTTGCCCTTTCTTCTTCTTTTTTAGATTTCTTCTTGACCACACAGAGAATGGCTGCACCAATCACAGTCAAAACCAAAGCTCCTCCAAGAACTCCGGCAAGAACATAAACCCAAGTTCTCTTCGATTTCCCACCGTCCGGCGACAATGGAGGCGGAGGAGACGGTGGAGGAGGAGGAGGAGGAGGAGCCAGAGAGTTGAGATTTGAAGGAGGATTCTGCAAAGGAACAAGAATTGTGGTGAAAGGGAAAACTCCAAAATCTTCAAAAGACATTTGGTTAGCTACTAAAGTCTTGTTCGTCTCGACGCCGAATCTCTGGCTGATGATCTCCACCGTGTCTCCAAAAACCACTGTGTAGCTCACAAGATAGTTCACCCCATCTTCATCGACTTGTTTAGCCGTGGGACAAGCGCAACGAATCGGAACAACGATCCTCATACCAGGAAACAGAGAAGTAGACGAAACATTGTTCTGTCTCTCCAAAGCTTGACATGTCGAAAGTCCCTGAAGAGTGTTGTTGGCTATGCGAAAATAAGAATCGTTTGGTTGGATCGTGTAGGTGAGATTGGATTGAGAATAGTTGTTGTTGCCGGAGCAAGAACAAGTTACAGGGACGATGATTTGTTGATCAGAAGGGAAGGAGGAGGTTGTTGAGGCGTTGTTGTTGAGGGAGGAGACGAGAGAGGGGTCAACGGAGAAGAGGGAAGAGATGGAGGAGACGGTGGAGAAAGGAGGAGTTGATCGGAAAATGACGTAGGTAAGGCAGGTTTTGTTGAGGCCGTTACATGTGTAACCGAGAACGGAGGTTGAGTTATCGACGACGGAACAGTCGGTGGTTGATGTGCCGACATAAGGCTGTTGCGCAGTTGCGAAAGGGGAGAGAGAAAGTAAGAGGAAGAAGAAGAGGAGATGAAGTTGAAGTGAGTTCGTGTCGGAAACCATTTGTGATTCTGCAAGATTTCGTTGTAAGGTTCTTTAATTGGATTTAAAGGAATCGTCTGGGGAAAAAAGTCAACTGTTTCTTAAAAGTCAAAATGAACACAAGTGGGGGAATTGGTCTCTTCACGATTCAATTATTAGAATAGATAATATATAAATTTGCACCATATCTTTTAACTCCTACCACACCATTGATATTTGCACATTTGATCTGAGGAAGAGAAAGACCCTTTGAAGCCGCCAAAGACGACTCAACAGGAAGATGACACAAGACACGATTATGTTTTTTGATAGTTTTCGATATTTACTCATTTGAGAAACTCCACTCAAAGCCTTAATACAATAAAATCTAAAGCGAAAACGTGTGACACAAAACTTAAATACTGATAATGATTTGTGTTCTAGGTTAGTTCTTTCTTGAATCAAACATTTTGATACCAGAAGCAAACATGAAAGGATTCAAAGTTTTCTTATCTGAAACAACCATGAAACTGCACTAAAGTAAATCTCCCTTATCCGATGGATATTGTTGTCTCCACCACACCACACCGTGACAGATAAAGAAGTCTAAAGATAGTTAACGAATTTGCGAAATCTTACAATTTTACAAAACAGAACAGAGCATACCAGTGTGTATCTAATAGAGGATGTATCAGTGAGTAAGCATCTATATATGTAAGCAAGCATCTATCAACCTTATGTCATTAACATACACCATTTATTCCACAACATCTAGTTTTCAAACGATGCAAAGAAAAAAACAACACAAAAGCCAAAAAAAGATATAGAAGAGTTGTGTAAAAGAACCTTATAGACCCAAGTTTCCTTCTCCAAAACAGAACCAAACATAGGAAAAGCAGACACAGACTCACTCAGCTATTACCCGTATTTACAGACAATGTTTTGAAACCAAGTAAGAGAGTTGTTGAATCATACCTCGAAACAAAACCAAATGTGTTTTGTTTTCACCAGCAAAGAAATATCAACACGCAAAATCCGATGAGAAGAGCGAGTTTCTTCAGAAACGCATCACTTTGGTTCTGGTGTCCTCCACGAGCCATAGGCTGATTGTGACGTTCTTGTCCATGAGTAGGAACTCCACGGAAACCGGTATGGTAACCACCGTAAGGGTAAACCGGTGTTGTACCATAAAGCGTCGCGTCAGGAAACCCATGGAACTGGAAGTTAAACAAAGAAGGCAACAAACCACCAACACCAAAACTGAAGTTCCCAATCCTAGTTGTTGCCATTGGCATAAACCCACCCATCAAACCAATACCGTAGTTGAAAAAATTACTCGCTGCTTCAGGCTGAGAGGGAGGAGGAGAAGCTGTCTCCGGTCTTTGACCAGCTGGTCGGTTCGGAATCCGCATACCGGGGTAACGTTTCGTTCTTGGGTCGGTCTGGTTCTTGCCTCTACCGTAAAGAGGCACGAGCTTATCGTCTTGGACAAGAGCTTTGCAAACCGGACATTCTTGAGAATGAGAGTGGTGGTGAAGCCATTGGTATAGGCATGGCCAACAAAAGAGATGGCCACAGAGAGTTACAATCGGATCTTGAGCTAACTCGAAACAAATGTTGCATTCAAAGTCGTGATCTTGATCGTTTGCTCCATTGTTATCAGAGTAAGACGTGCTTGTGGATTCTCCTTTCACCATTTCAAAAAAGTTACTGCAAAAACAAATCAAATAAAAATTATGAACTCGAATTATAAAAACCCTAAAGCCTAAATTCGAATCAATTCAATTAAACAAAACCCTATAAAATCTACATCGAGAAGCAAAACCAAAAACCCTAAATTGTTCACGGAGTTTAGAAATTGAGAGAAGATCGATTCGAACCGACAAAGATGAATCGATCAGTGTTCCAACATTGCGAAATAAATCAGATTCTCAGATTCACTAAAATAAAATCAAGAATTAAGAGCAAACTTACATCAAAAGTGATTGATTGAATCAGCCACGAAAGAAAGACAAGATCCCTTAAAAGTAGAGATCGAACGACTAAAGAGAAACATACATCGTGGGAAAACAGATCTCTATGTTGAAAAAGAGATGGTGGTGCACTGGAGAGAGAAACTTCAGGCTATTTCTGTCTTTTGGATTTTCTCTTTTATATATATATATACGTATATATATTTGCTCCTTTTTGGATCTTTTTGATTAATTATGGCCCAATTGAAAAGATTAAGCCCAGGTCTGTATATATTAGTCGACCGTTGATTACTTAGGGTTCTACAAAATTTTGTTTGAGGTTTTCTCTGTCTCCTACAAAGTTTGTATGATTTCTCAATTCTCAATGTATCCAAAAACTGTTCACTTCAGTAAACTAAACAACCTAACATATGAGATTTTTAAAACATTCCAACTCTTAAATTCGTTCTATTTTATGAAATCTATTTAATTCTAACGTTTTTTTTTTGTTTTAAAGCATATTGAACCGAGAAGTAATACTAATTTGATCCTTCTACTAAACTAAACTCTTACCAACCAAAACTATGAACTCTCAAAAATCGATTTGGGCAAAACTTGATAGAAAAGGTTGGCTTGTAATATTTTATTTCCACAAAGATCATCTTTATATTACTTGAGAAGAAATTAAGTTATGACGGAGTGTAGAAGTTAAGCAAATAGCTAAGAGAAATGAATTGATCAGAAGATCTTGACTAGAATCCATTACTTAAACGAAACTACATCTTGTAGAATCATCTTGAATATTTGAGGATACATTTTGCACCTTGCTAAAAAAATCTATCCTTGTTTATCAACCACATATTGTATAACCAATAAATACAACTTGAATAAAAAAACTTAAATTTGGAGGACCATGTCTACCTAGGTTCGCTCACATTCTCTTTAAGGAGAACAACGCTTAATTTGGTATTCTCCAAAGCATTTTTACTCCAGTTCATATACACGGTCGTAGAATTGAAGGCATATCTTTGGGTAACAGGGACGAAACATCCCTAACTACTGCAAATATAAAATCCACAAGAACGTGAAAGGAATCCACGCTGATAAAAAAAAACCTTAACTGTCATATATATTGTGCCTATCCATCACAAGCTTCTCCTATCAGAAACATATACAATCTTCTCATATAAGCAACTTCACAAGCTTCCCGTATAGCTCACCCTATTTACCTTTTGTTGTAATTTATCGAAAATGTGAAATTTTATTGATAAATAATAGCGTTTCTATTACATTTGAAATAGTTATATACATAATGTTACACTTAAAAAAGTAATGAAAACCTTAAAAACAACAACATACTCTTCCCTGATATTACAAAAGCCGCAACAATTCGAACAACTTTTTGTTTTTGTTTTAATGGAAAACTGAAAACTTAATCTACCTATACTTTTTTTTCTTCTTTTTTTTGGGTAGAATTCTCTAGTTAGGAAAAATCAGACACCATTTGAGACAACAACATTGAATCTAAACCAATTTTCGTCTAAACCAAAATCTAACTCTCCATAGCTCCAAGAGTCTTGGAAACACGATCTGAAGGCTTAGTGCAAAACAGCTTCTTCAGTTCATCATACCTCCCAACATCAAACTCATTAAGTTTCATAAGCTTCCTCTGTTTAGCCTCGAACCTACTCTGGTAAAACCCTTCAAAGGAAGGCTCTTTCGATGTCCTGAGGAAGAAAGCATACCCAGCCATAAAGTATATGGACGTGACATAGAAGCAGATTGGCTCCATCACGTCCCACGAGAGTTCCCAAAACGTTAGCCTCATGAACCCAGCGGTCTGTAGGATCAAGTAACCAAGACCAGCCCAGAGCTCTCTCCGAACCAAAGAGTGCGCTTTCACATCAATCACTGCCTTTACTGCTTCGAGCTCTTTCAGCTCGATCCTTCGTGGGTCATTTGGGTTATGAATCTTTGGCAAAGGAAGCAATCCTTCTATTGATTTTGTAACCTGATCAGACACAAGGGAAATAGACAAAAACAGAAAATGTCTGGGTAAAACAAGAACCTCCACCACCTTATTTGAGACACAATTAGCACTCAAAATCACAACAATATAGATCAATGACTAATTAAGTCAAGTAATCTATCCCCATATTCCCTGTTTCTAGTTTAAGATCGAATACCAATTGACAAGAGAACACTAGACTCTCCAACAGAAACTCATCATGTGGTCTTGTCAATTAAGTTCTCCACTTTGATTATCCTAATATCTCCAAGAGCCTGTTAGTAAATGACCGATACTAAAGCAACCTAAAGCTTCTCAAACTCTCTCTCTCTCTCTCTCTTCTGAAATCTTCGTTTTGGGTTTTGTTTTGTATCGAATCGTCATGGGTATTGACTCAATTTAACCTAATGGTCCTAATCCAACCAATGGTTTTTGTTTTGGTTTTGTTTAGGGGGCGGGAAAAAAGTTGTGGTCTTTGTAGAAACTGTTCTTCGTTATCACCACCTCAAACTTGGGAACCTCCTACGTGACTCTGGTAACAGAGGTTTTGAGTTTTCCTGTTGAATTGGAAGCAAAAGAAAGAGATACAACCGATGAAAATGGTATCAGTTTTCGGTAGCTTCCAAAGATCAAAATCGAAAAAACGTATAAACTTTGGGAACCTAATTCCTTTTTTTTTTTCTCAGAGAGTTTTATCTCTCTCTATCTCTCCCAATCAATACTGTTCAAAACAGCTGCAGATTCAGAGATTGATTTCACAGGCAAAATTGATTCAAATATAGAAGATGATTTGATTTCAGATTCGAAACCAAAAGAGGAAATTACCTGATCTGGCCTGAGACAAACGGAATCTCCCAGAACGATGACGTTTGCTGAATCGTCCAACATCTTCGCAATTCGAGATCCGTGATCTGGATCTGAAGAAGCTTCACCGCAAACGCCGACGAACTCCGCGTACGGCATCCAGCTTTTTCCGGTCTCTCTAAGCTTCGTTTTCACGATTTCGATCTGCGCCGCTCTAAGCAGCTTCTTCGTATCCTCCACCGTGAGACCCGACGTCTCCGTCTCCGTCTCCACCTCAGGAATCGCCATAGACGGCGGAGCAAGGCCGTCTAGTCGAATCCGGTCTTTGCTTCCATCCAATTCACGGAGCTTCTCCATCAAGCTCTCTCCCACCGGCATCTGCATAATCTCCGGCCGAATCATGGGGGTATTGTGCAGAAACCTCCGCGAAATTCCGGAATCTCCAGGCTCCGGAGCAATTTTCGTCTCTCCCGATTCTTTGGGAACTCTGGTTCGTACGGCCAACGGAGACGAAGAAATGCGACAATTCATGAGATTCTGAGACGCTACATTCGAGATGTTGAAGAGACGCTTCGACAAAAGCTTCCTCATCGCCATTGATGAAAAAAAATTTCTCTCCCAAGAAACTTCTTCAGAGAGAAGAGAGAAATAACAAAAGAAAAATAAACGTAAGAAATAAAACGTTTTTTAAATGTGAATGAAATATGAACAGAGACTAAAAGGGTTTTATATAGGAAGGGTATCGTTTTCTGTAACAATAATACATTTAATTTTAATTTTAATTCCTAAAAATAAATAATAAATAAGACTCGTACACGTCAGCGTATATCGGAACGTACACGAGAAATTCATTATACAAATTACAACCCAACTTTTCCCGAATATTCGCTTTCGAAACTCTTTTTTTTATGTTCTCGCGAGAAATGTGGAAAGTTAATGGTTAATAGCCGTACACGTGTTCGGGTTAGTATTGGTGATAGTTTGCGGTGGTATCGCAGCCGTCCGATTATATCATTTCCCCAAGTGATTAATAATTGTTTTTTCTTTTTAGAACCTAAATTTGTTCACAACGGCAACAGAGCAGAAGAACTAGGAAACAAAAAGTCTTTTTACGTGTACGCAAACGTGGTTCCACGTATTTTCCTTGTTTTTTTTTTACTTTTAAGTTTTAACTAATATACTAGATTACTTGAACAAATACTCTTTGTAAAGAAAGCTATATTTTGTTTAAGTTTAATAATTAAACTTGTTTATAACAGTGTAGTAACAAATATTCTGATAAAAAAATTTATAAGCTAGCGTGGAAATTCTACAATGAAATGGAAGAGTAATAATTTTTTCTTACGTGGGCAAAAAGTTTGAATTTAGTAAATAAAACAAAATTATATGCCATTAGCAAAAAAAAACTAACTAAAACAAAAAGATATAAATGTTAAATAATAGATTTGTAGGAGGAAAAAAATTTGTGGTTTCCAATGGTTGAGGACTGAGGAGCATGCGTTACAGAATATGCCAACAAGTTGAGCACATAGACAAGTGGGTTAATTAAAACAGTTTTTTTAGATATTATTATTTCTTACAAATATTTTTTTTGAACGTGTTCGTATTTATTTACGGTTCTTTGTTCAAAATATTTGAATTTGATATATATATATATAGATAATACTCGTAAACCAACATTCATTAGTAGCTGCACGAATTTTACTAATAAAATTTTAAAATAATGCATGTTTATTTATCTTTTAGCGCAAAAAGAAAGAAACATTTTGCAATTATGATGATCGCTATTCATGGTTGATACTTTTGGCATATTTTCTAAAGGCTCAAAGAAGTCCCGAAAGTTGGGGAGCTATTATTCCCAAACCTAGTGAAAAGGAGAGGAATTTGGTAAAATTATTGGAGTATTAGCAAATCACACAGCGACACGTAAATATATTACCGTCACCAGTTACAAACTTATTGGAGGTGACAAGCACTGTCCACAAATTGACAAAAGTTTGGCGACGAGAAAAGAATAACCTAGATTTATTACATAAGCAAATGGAAATGGTTTTAAAAAAGTAACAAAATTAATTAGATTGATATGGTCAATTCATCAATTGTGTCTAAGTCTAACAAGTAATTAATTCTAATTATGTTATCAACATTGACTTGGGCCTAATGGTGATGCCAGCAAATGGCACTTGCCACTTATAATTAGACTCATTAATGCTGATATATGACTAACGATACGAATCTTTTTTTTTTGTATTATTATTCAAATGGCACTCACCATTCATTAGCTGCTGGCTAGAGAAGTTTTTCGCAAACGTCGATTTTTTTCTATAAAGGGTTGGATGTTTATTCTTCAAAAAACGAAGTACAAAAATCTAATTTATAATAGTTTCACCTATATTTTATTTTTAAGAAATTGAAATGTATATTTTAACGAACTTTTGCTAGAAACTTTGCCCTAGCAAAAATTTTGTTTTATATTTAACTTGAGACGCCATTAAATAGAAATGGAAACTAAAACACAATTCTTTCAATTTTTGTTAATTAAGCATAGGAGAGCATTTAGAAGTTCAAAATGATATGCAAATACTCTTTCCCTCTATGTTTTTAAATGGAGATTTTTGCAGAGCATTAAGATCTAAAATAATTTCAAACATTAAATAGAAAAATTAATTTATTTCGATATCTTAAAGAAAAATTTAGTTTCTTTTGATAAATTTATACGTATATATTGTGATTCAAGATAGCGTCAGAAAAATATATTATTATGAGAGATTACGACAAATTCTTTTGGTAAACATCTACCAAAAGACAAGGGGCCAAGCCAAAGGGCAAATATCATTTGGCTGGCTGGACCATCAACATCGTTACTTAACAGTAATCCATTTGCCTAATTTTTTATTTGTTTTATTCTTTTGATCGGGCACACTGCATTTCTGTTTAATATTGAATTATATAACGAGTTATACGGATAACGAAAACAAACATTATGAGAAGAAAAACTACATCAAAGATAACATATGAAATTAAGGACAGTTTCCAAAGGTTCACATTGCTTGTATTACCTTAAGACACGGAAATTCCAAAACGGATGGATGCCGTTAACCATATACTATACACCATTAATTGATTTCTAATTTAGCAACAATAACTAACATAAGGAATATGTTTAGAACATTTGGTCACATACAAAAACATCAAATGGATTATCTATCTTAAAATTTAATACACAGAGATTCTTGTCGAACTATTTGAGTACAGTGTTACCAAAAAAAAACTATTTGAGTACAGTATAATCTCTATAAATTAATACTCGATAAATTAATATATTTTTTAAATCCCAAATTAGTTTTTTGAGCTAATTTTTATATTGATAAATTAATAACTCGATAAATTAATAAAATATTGCAGTCCCGGCATTATTAATTTATAGAAATTTAATTTATCGATATAAAAATTAGCTCAAAAAACTAATTTAGTTTGATGCTTTTAAACTACAGTAAAACCTCTAAAAATTAATATTCAATAAATTAATAATTATAATATATTAATGAATTACAGGTCCCAAGTCGGGCCAATGTAAAAATCCATCAAATTTGATAAAATAATAAAATAATAATTTTTTTGAAATTCTTATGTAAAGATATGATCCCAACAAAAATATAAATTAATAATTATATACATTTATAAAAATATATGTAAATATAGTATTCTAAAATATGACTAATGTGTTTGTTTTTACTTAAAGTTGAAATCTCATTGGAGCTTATTTCTTTAATTATTATATCAATAGCTTTTATTGATGTTTTACGATATACATTCAAAATTTATGATAACTTTTAATGTGGTCATTGATTTTCTTATTTGTAAATGTTTTTAAATGTATTTTAGTGTTATCTTCAATTTTATCATCAATAATACGGATAGTAGCCATAGTCTTTTTATAATTTTAAACTTATGAACATGTATATTTTTACATGGATAATCCAATATGGTATTAAAAGCTATTTTATTGCGATAGTTATGATTGTTAAACATAATTTGCATTACGAAATTTGTTAAAATTTTAAAATATAACATTATTCCAAAAAAAAAATTATAAAATTATAAGCGGAAAGCAAATGTTCTCTATAAATTAATTTATAGATAAATTAATATCACGATAAATTAATAAAATATCATAGTCCCGACATTATTAATTTATAGAGGTTTTACTGTATATTGACTAAAGGGATTTGTGCATACATCCTTATACACAAGCTTCTTGTATGCTACGAATCTGATGAAAATCCATTTAGTCATTGACTAAAGGGCTGCGAGTTTTGAATTTGTGGCTATTAGAAAGAAAAAAAAAATATGATTAAGGTTATGTAAAAAGCATGAATGATGATGATAATTGAGATATGCTTCAATCATTCATGCCAAGACGGTCTAAAATCGAAATCCAATCAAACTGTCTACAACCAAAACCAAAACAATGTATTACAAGGAGTGTTTTGAGTATTTTAAGAAGTTTGGTTTGGTGCTTTTAAACTATATTGACTAAAGGGATTTGTGCATACATCCTTATACACAATCTAATTGTATGCAACGAATCTGATGAAAATCCATTTAGTCATTGACTAAAGGGCTGCGAGTTTTGAATTTGTGGCTATTAGAAATAAAAAAAAATATGATTAAGCTTCTGTAAAAAGCATGAATGATGATGATAATTGAGATATGCTTCAATCATTCATGCCAAGACAGACTAAAATCGAAATCCAATCAAACTGTCTACAACCAAAACCAAAACAATGTATTACAAGGAGTGTTTATATATATATACTAAGAAAAAAATTAGAATGTATATTAATAATGTGTTTTGATATCTGAGTCTGAACCGGGATATTATGAACATCAAAACCGCATAAATAAAAACTTTGCAAGCTAGGAAACTTCTCGCATGGACCTCTTCACACTGAAATCTTTAGGAAGCTCCTCGCATGGACTTCCACATGTTGACACTTTCTGGAGAATGAACTTAACACAACTCGAGACACTCCAACATGAGGCTTCCCGATTACGACATCGCTCAAAAGGTTCCTTGCATGGACTTCCTCGCACTAACATCTTTCAAATATGGTCTCCAACAGGACGAGATCTCCACATGCATATTTAGATACTTCATACAGAAACTCTGCAAATGGATTTCCATGTACGATCTCCCAAAATATTAAACCATCCTTACAAGCTCATTGTATGCAACGAAAACGATGAAACCCATGTGTTTAAGGATTTAAACAAATAGTTTCAAATATATATATCATTGCTATGAGAATATTGTTTGTAACTTTCAGGGTGTCTCAAAACACTTCTTTATTTTTAATCTTTATGATATATATCAGTTCAAAAATATTTAACTTTTGGTGTCTTTCAACTAATTTTCCTAGTTATTTACTTTTTCACGATAAAATTCCAATGAACTTATTCAATTTCTCTTTTATCTTTTTTATAGTGCTATAATTAGCTTGTTTTAAAACGTCTTACATAAAGGTCCGAAATTTAAGCTAAAATTTATCGACCCACATTTTTTTTCTTTTACTCATTCTCTCCAACTTGAATAT